TCTAGCTTGGATGATAAAGTTTTGAAGTTAGAGTTGAAAGTTCATCAATTGATAAGTTTGCTTGCAGTTTCTTGGGCTATTATTGTTGGTTTTGTAGCTGCCAAGATGATGTAGTGTGGTGCTATTGTTTGTGTTAAGTTAGTATTATTAGATTATGTTAGTTTTGTGGGTTTTTGTTATTGTAACGACGAAATTTTGCAACTTATTTTGTTTTGAAAATTTGTCAAGATGATGTAGGTTGTTGTTCTGTCTACTAATGAAGAATTCTGCAGCTTGATAAGCTGTATTTTCTTGCATTTTGATCACGCAGTATTCGTGCACTTTGTATATGTTTTGTCCCTCATCGTTCTGCATCTTGACTTTAGAAGTGGAAAAGCTCAGGGAAAGCAAATTAAAAGGCATGCAGTTAACAAAACAACATACTGTTTTCATGGATCCAAATAGTTAAGGAATACGAGTTGTTGAGGAATACGAGTTGTTGAGAAGGAACTTCAGTGAGACCGGCTGCTTTGGGTTTGGTATTCAGGAGCACATTGATCTTGGAATCAAATATGATCCTTCAACTGGCAGGTGCAAGTCTCGAGTCGGGATTCAGCACAGGGTCACTAAGGAGGATTCAATGAAGTGGTTCCAGGTCAAATATGAAGGTGTTATCCTTAACAAGTCCGCAAACATTCAGTGATAAGCTGAGTGCCAACTTTTGGATCAGCTTGTCTCCTGGCAAGTTTATTTTTATGTATTTTTGTAGACAGCCATCGATACTACTATTAAAGGAATGTTTTGGAGAGATTCTAGTGGGCAAATCAGTATGTTTTATTTCTCATTTTGGCAATCAGATGAATTCAAATCTTTGTTAAAAAAAAATCAAAAAGTTGAATGGATCCAAATAGTCACACATGTAATTGAGATACAACATCTTTTTGGTGCTAAATCAATTAACGCTATACAGGCAATACAAATTTCAATTGCAGGAAAAAGCTTGATTACATGAACATGAATCGTACATCAATAATACAAGACACTCACGCACTCAACATTCAATTCCACCAGCTCGGCTTCTGAAAACATCAAGCCCCATCTCTGTAGGATCAGTTGCTTGCAGCTCTACCTGGAATCCATCAAGCTCTCTCTTGAACCTGTCTTTAGAGCTTGCATAAATCATCTTGCTTCTCACCCTTGCTGTGTCAGGTGACCTTCAACAAAAGACAAAACAAAAGGCCGTGATAACCAAGAGTATAAACCGACAAGATGAAAGTTTATATCACTAAATTTGAGTAAAACATACCAAGCAATGAAGAATATTCTGCTCTTCTGGCAGTTTTCTTCTGTCATGAAATCAAAGTCATAGACAGCATATCGACACTCATCAGCAGGGAGGCCTGCAGCAAAATCCTCATGGCTTTCAGTTGGTTCACCAAGCTTTTCCACAACAACCTGCTTTTGCTTCTCTTCAATCTTATAGATGATGAAACGGTAGGTTCTTTTTGCCTTCAACTCTAAAAACTTCAGCTTGCAATCATCATGCACAGCCATCCCAGATGCTGCATTAGCCTACAATTTTTTATAATATTACCCCAAACGTTCTATAAGGCGACACATTCAACAAATAGAAGAACAAAGAAAGGAACCAAAGTCTGTAGTATTTAAGATCTTCAAGTCCTGTTCATTACTTCTAGAATTTATCTTTCCCTTCAATCACAGTCATTAACACTGATAACAGTCATTAACACTGAATACCTGTCTCTTTGAAGATGGAGTGCGTAAAGAAGAAAGGTGAATGAGGCGGAGGAAGAAGTTCCCAACTGTGGTGGACATGTCACATTGCTCTCAAATTAAACATGGAACAATCTTGAGTCAGCTAGTAAGTATGAAGGTAACATGTATAGCCAGACATATAACCTCAAGCTAAATAAACGTACAGAAACTAATATGTCAACTGAGTACTTAAGCAATCTTTTGCATTTATGGAAAAAGGAAAAGAACAAGAGCTAGAAGATAATATGACCTCAGTTTCTCTAAAGGAACACAGCCTAAGTCAATATTGCAAATTGGACAGTGTTCAGTTTCTTCATTGGACAGCTTTTTGTAGATGCATTTCCTGCAAACTGAGTAAAGTTCCAGAAGGAACAGTGTCACAACAGTAGTCATTTTTTTGGCAGAAACAGTTACTTACTTTGATAATACCCGAACCAAAATGCAAAAACACTAAGCTTTTATTTAAAAAGGAAAGAAAAGAAAGTAAGCAAAGTTCAACTCATTCATCCAAAAAGATGCTTCACACAATATACACCAGTGAAAGTTTCTAAAGGAATACTTACATGAACAACAGTTCCAGTCTCAAACATCAAAACTGAGAACAGAACTCAACAATTTGCCAACAACCTAGCATTTCAATCTCAAACATTAAAATTGATAACAGAACTCAACAATTTCATAAAATTTTCAGGTCACAAAATATTTTCAACACATAAAACATTGTTAGACTAATTTGTCATTAACATACATGGCCAGTGACACACGGTTAAGTATCAGAAAATAGAAAACTAAGAAGTTTCACTATGTCATTACATACTAAACAAAAACTTAAAACCACTACTTTGCAACTACTTTCTAATGTTTTCCCCTCTTTGCCTTAAGCTTGCCAATTTTTTTATCCTTGTCTTTTGTCAACTGATTTGAGGTCACACATGCTTTGCCTTTCCAAGTTAGCTTTTTTGGTGAGTATGGCAGATTAGTAGGAATAGAAGCACCATTTTCATCACCCCTGAAACTAATCCTTCTTGAACCAATTGGTTGTTGTTGCAGCTTCTTCATTTGTAGTCTAGTCTTTTCTTCAGATATCATCCTAGGTGTAAACACTATATCCTCATCCTCAGATTCAATACCATCTTCAACTTCATCTTCATCAACAGTTGCAATTGAAGGTGCAATAACTATTTCTTTTCCACTGTTTTTAGACCTCTTTGGAATTGCATCAACTTTGTCCTTTGAAACATTTTTTCTCTTTGATTTTGAAGGACCAGAAGCTTCATTGGATGCTTGACTTGATTGCTGGCTTGTTTGTCGACTAGAAGATGCAACAAATCCAGGAGTCGGCATAAAGACAGATTCATTTTCTTCACTTGGTTGGGGTGCCGGGAGAACTTGTCTTCCTTTTTGAAGCTATAAAATTTGTGAAAGAGTAAGATAAATAAATATACATTGTAAGTAATTATAAATTGATGAAACATAACTTACCAAAGGACATCTTCTTCGATTATGACCTACAGCACTGCAGTTTCCACATGTCATTTGCAATCCTTTTCTACTTTTCGACCATAATCCCTCCCTTTTTCTTGCCTCATCCTTTTCCCTTACTCTCTTTAATTTTGGTCTACCAACCAATTTATGAATTTGTGGTGGTTGCATAGCTTGAGAAGGATCAATTTTCCAGAATTTCTCACCCCTAACAGGTTGAATTTTAGGCTGGTACACAAACAAGTAAGCTTCTTTTGAGTACCACCAATGCATCTCATTCATTGGTTCTAGTCTATCATGTTCTAATGCTTTAATAGAATGAGGACATGGTATTCCTGTCAAATCCCATGTCCTACAAGTACACTTCTTTGTAGCAAGATTCACAACATGTCTATCTATACCCTCAGCCACCTCATATCCTAAGTCTCCATTAGCAACAACTTGACAACCTTGTGCAATCATTCTAAAATCATGATACAGATCCATGGAGTATGGACAATACTTTTCTGTCCACCTCTTACCCTCTTCTTCAAGTTGTTTCAACCTTTTCATAACCTATAAATAGTAGTGAAATATATAACTTATACATGACATATATAATCTAAACATAACACCTACATATTACTATCAGATTAAACATAAATAGTTATTATCAGATATCTATCAGATAGTTATATAAAACAGTGGAAGTACCTTAATTCTAATGTCTTCCAGCATCTTGATTATTGGTTTTGCCCTTGCTTCCAAAATCCATTTGTTGAATGACTCGGTAAAATTATTTTCACATGAGTGGTTTTTGCAGACAGTGTCAAAAAAGGCCCTGCACCAGTGTTGTGGTGGATACCATAAAAGATCTTTGGCTGCTTGTTTAGACACAGAACCCATAGACTTTAATTGGTCATTAAATTCCTCTTCATAGGTACTCCAAGCAGACCACCAAAACATCTTCTTCATCTGTACACCACTCCAAGACCTGGACCAATTGGCTTCTATGTGCCTTGCACACCATCTATGTTGTGCTTTTGGAAGCAAATCACCAACAGCGCCGATCAAGCCCTGTAACAACAAGAAAAAATAGAATAGAATAACTTTAAAAAATTCAAGTGTATACAATAACTATAATAAAAAACTATCAAACACTTGCAAAATTACCTTTTGCATATCAGACATAAGTGTCAATCCTTCACCATCTGCCAACCCCAATGAGTTCCTCAGCAACTCAATGAACCATTTCCATGTTCTAATAGTTTCTCTATCCACCACTGCCCAAGCAAGTGGATAAAAATGCTTCATTGAATCTTGTCCAAGTGCAACCAATAAAATTCCCTTGAACTTCCCTTTTAAAAAGGTGCCATCTAACCCTATAAATGACCTCATATCAGCTCTCCAGCCACTTTTCAAAGCCTGAATACAAATATACATTCTCAAAAACTTTCTTTGTCCATGTTCCAACAAAGCCTCTTTGGATATGTTTATAATCACATCAGTACCAGGGTTGCTGTCCCTTAACTCTTGAGCATAACCCTCCAATTTATTGAAATCATCAACATAGCTACCATCTAATTTCTCTAGCACAAGTCTTTTGACCCTCTTCATTTTTGAATAACTAATATTAAGCCTAAAGTTATCATCTACAATCTTTCTCATTTCATTCACTTTGCACTTAGGATCATTTTGGACCTTCTTCTTGAAGTAGTGTGCTAGAGCTTGTTGAGTAGCTCTTCTATTCTTGAATGCTTCTGGACATGTATGTTTTGTTTGCAAGGTCTTAATTTCAAATCCTTGCCCTTTCTTAACTTCAGAATAAGGTTCATTTTCATCATTTTCTTCCTCACTTGTTTCACCTTCAGTAGCAGCATCTATTGTGACTAGGTAAGGTTCATTATTGTGGCTAATGTCAATAGCTGGAACAACATCATCCCCCTCATCTACAGCAAACAGTTCAAGTACACCAGACCTAACAGACAGTGCTGTTTGTATTGTTCTTATGCCAGAATCCCCCTCAATCAAATAATACCTCCCAGAAGGTCCTTTGAGTAGAAGTTGTTGGACCTTACTAAAACCTAACTTTTCATGAAACTCTTCACATATGTCAATATATGACAATAAATCTGGATCATACTCCTTCCAAACATGAGTCAATTTTTTAATGTAAATAACAGTAGGTGTCAGTACCCACCTACCCCCATAATAGAATAATAGGTCCACCTTGTCGACCATTCTTCAAGAAAAGGACATTATAGACAAAAAAGAAAGAGAAAAGGGCTATTAGACAACAACAAAATATTTAAAAAAACAGAGGAATCTACCAAGAGTAAAGGAATAGGGACCACATTCGTCAAAGTAAAACTTTACATACACAAAAACATAGAATACAATACCTAGAATCCAAAAAATAGACCATTCAATAAAATATTTCATATCTAACAACTGTAAAGGCAAATCAAACTAACAGATACACAAATCGAAAAGAATTATAACATAAAGAGAGAGACAACGAATAAAGACAGAAAAGAAACTTGAGACAACAATATAAAAATCCTACTCGAAATCAATATTGTAACACAGTACACTAACATAAATAGACAACACAAAACAAACTATTGTATCACCATAATAATTGTCAAAAAAGCATAGAAAACATGGAACATTTACATTAATAGAGATCGATTCTCAAAACAAGTAAAATCAATAAAAACCTAAACCCTAACTAAAATTTCGAAGTGCACAAAAGTTCTTACTTGAGTTGAAGTCGAGATTGTGAACGAAAATAGCCCTTGCAATCTGAGATCTTCACTGATGAGTGTAGTTATCAGGATGATGTTCTAAACCCTCTGTAGATCGTGAAAAAATTGGAAGAAAATGAAGTGTTTATTTGGGTTTTAGGGTTCTCTTAATTAGATGGGTTTTTTTTGTATTGGGTAAGTAGGGGCGGGTTTGATAGCATTTGGGGCGGGTTAAGTTAAAATGGGTGGGTAATGGGTG